TCCTTTCCTGGCCTGTGCTCTGGTCTATGAGTGACCACAAGCACTGTTTTCTACCTTGGAACTGCGAGGATTCCCTCTCCACCGCCACTACAAGCTCCACTACACCAGTGCTCCTCCTCGTCCCCAGACCGCCACCCAGAACTGTGACTCAGATCCAAGCATGGGCAAAGCAAGAGATTTCTGCCTCAGCACTAGCAAAGAGATCCCTGCAATCCCTCTCTGATCAGTCACTCAATTCCCCCTCTGTCTGTGGGCTGAGAGCTCCAGAAGCAGCTGACACCCCGTGGCTGCACTGGGACGGAGCTTCTCTCTCACCACGGTCACAGACCTTTCCTACTGATCTTCTAAGTTGTTTTTGGTGTTTGTGGGTTGAGAAGTCTGGAAACGCCACAGCTGCCTGCAATTCAGTCCTCTGAGGCCTGTTCCAGGTTTCCTGAGGCCTGGTGTTTGCCTGTGTGCCCATGCTGAACTGAGCTCCTCTCCCAGGCTGGTGAGTTAGACCTTTCCAATCAACCATCCAGATTGGAAATTTGTTTCACTCTATCTTTTTGTAGGTTCTACTGCTCTAGAATTTGTTTAGAGTCATTTTTTTACAGGTATCTGGAGGGGTCTGGGGGAGAGCTCAAGGAAGTCACTGCTTTTACTCTGCCATCTTGGCTCCACCCCACTCCCAGGCTACTTTTCACCATGTAACACTGATACTCAGAAGGTCAGTAGCTCAGTGTTCCATTGATATTGGCGGTAATTAAAAATGATCACCAGGAAAGATCTGTAGAGTAGATGCTGTGAAATATTGGTGATTTCAAATCATTCATTTTCCATAAAGCATAGTCATTAACTAAGACTTTTATTGGGGGCTCTGTAGAAAAAAAGAAATAAGCAGACATATGAATTGTGCCTGCTCACTTGTATAGACTAATTGGTGCTTTAATTGAGTTGTGTATGAAAGTCATTTTATGTTCACCTTGCTTAGTTAGAAAAGATAGTTTGTGGGGAGGAAGAGTGCAAATCTGACAATATTTTGCAGCATCTACTCTATTACAAGAGTGTTGAGAAAGGAAAGATCATTTGTCTTTTTTCTGATCCTTTTTATCGCAATAGCCAGTGGGGGAAGGGTAGGGAAGGGGATAAGCATTTATATAGAACCTACTATGTGCCAGGGACTCTGCTAATTGCTTATAAATACTATCTTATTTTATTTGATCCTCACAGCAACCCTAGGAGGTAGGCATGGTTATTATTCCTATTGTGTAGTTGAGGTAACTGAGACAATTTTGAGGGACTGAGTCATTTTGACTATTATAAGTACTCTAATTACAAAGGACCTATGAAGGAACATACTATCTGCATCCAGAAGAAGAATTGATAAATAGAAGTATGTATAGAATGATTTTACATGTACTTTTTACATATCCAATTTACATACACATATACATATGTTTGTGTCTAATGGTAGCCATTGGGGGGAGGAAAGAAAAAAAAGAAAAAGAAATTTACATGATAACTTTATTATATATTTAAAAGGAATAGCAAGTTGTACATAACAGATTTGCAGTTATGTGCAATCATCTTTTTTTTTTATTCTACTCTGTTATGGAAATGCTTGTTTTATTTCATAAATTAAAAATAAAACAAATTAAATTTAAAAAAAAGAAAGAAACTAAGGCAAACAGTGTTAAATGACTTCATTCAGCTGGTATCTGAGGCCAAATTTGAACTCAGGTCTTTCTGACTTCAGGTCCAACATTCAAGCTACTTTACCATTTATCTGCCTATTATTGTAGATAACATCATAGATTTAGGGCTCAAAGGAAACTTACAGGCCATGCAATCCAATCCTTTCATTTGACAGATAAAGAAACTGAGGCCCAGAATGACTAAGTGATTTGCACAAGATTTACACATTTGCAGCTAGTAAGTTGTATAGATGGGGTAGGCTGAGAATAGAGGCTTGAGAAGAAAGGGTTGAAACAGTCACTCTGGTGAAAGTGAACTGGAATCAATAAGAAGCAAACAAAAGGATTGCTGAGGTGACCGTCAGGGCCAAAGTGAGATGATTCTATCTATCTATCCATCCATCTGTCTGTCTATCTATCTATCTATCTATCTATCTATCTATCTATCTATATGTGTATGCATATGTAAATATATATAAATCTATATGCATATATACTGTACATGTACATATGCATGTGTATGAGCATGTATGTGCTTATGCATATATATTTATATGTATAAGTATATATACATGTATATATAGATATGCATTTTATTTGTGTATGTGTATTTATGTATGTATATGTATATTGGTTGAAATAAGTGGTTTTGTGCCTCAAGAAACACTCAGCAACCTGATAACAGGAGGAGAGTTTTGGGGTGGGAGGTCAGAGGTGGGTGTTTACATTTTATCAATAACAGTAATGGCTCTCAGAGAGGCTGTCTGAGGCAGTCACTACAGTCCTGGACCTGGAATCAGGAAAAGCTGAGCTTAGTTCAAGCCTCTGATAATTACTAATTTTTAATTTTTTAGTTTTTGTTTTAACTTTGAGCCAAGTCATTTCTTTGAATTTCTGGATTTGATATGCTTTAGTAGGAGGTGCTGGCTTTTCCTCAATGTTTTGATTTCACGTACAGCTTACAAAGTACTTTGCTCAAGGCATCCTTTGGAGGTAGATAATATAATTATTATTATTCTCACTTTATAGATGAGGAAATTGAGGCTCAGAATAAACTGCCCCAAACCACACATAGTTAGTGGCAGAGCTGGGGCTTGAACCCAGGTCCCTATAAAATGAGAGGACTGGACTCAATGGCCTTGAAAGAACCCTTCCAAACTCTAATGCTATAAGGATTGTGACACTTAGTCCCGTGCTATGAATCCTGGAGTGGAGATTGCTTGATCCAAAGGAATAAATCTGTAAAAGTGAAATTCCAGGTACCTAGGTGAAGGTAATAGGCAAGGAGAAGAAGACCCCGCCACTCCCTTTAACTCAGTTCACGTAGATGACTTCTCTAGTGAAAGGCAGGCCCTGATCTTAGGGGTTGTCCTTGCTACTACTTTTGGATCTCTCGCTGGCCTTGTGAGGCTGCTAGAAAGCCTGGAATGGAGTTCCCCAACCGTCTTGGGGGAATCTGGGAGCAGCGTTTGGGGGTGTGTCCAGCTCGTGGGAAGTCTCCATTCCCCCTCCGGCAGAAGAGAACAAATGCTTCATTGAAGAGTTAAAAACTCATGTTTTGGAAATCATGAGCGTCCGGGTAGTTCCCAGGAACTCAGATATTTTATTTCTTACATAGTGAGAAAGACCTACTGGATAAAAGCAAGGATTAGAAATAAGACCTGCATGCTGCCCTAATGAGGGACAAAGTACAAACAGAAAGTCACCAGACAGTTGGGTGCTATTTATTTAGAGACAGTGTGCATGCATGCCCAGAGTTCAAATTTCAAAAGCAATCATTAGACGAGTTAAGGCAAGCTCTGTAATCAAGGCTCTCCTGATACTCTCTCACTCAGATCAGGGCTGAGGAGGTTCCTTTAAGACAATCACTTCTAATATTTCCTACCCCTTACCCTCCCTTTAAAATTATTGCACTATTTCTTTTTTTATTTGTTTCACAGAGGAAATTAGAAATTATATGCAGCATGCAGCTGGTACTTCATAAACGTTTACTGTTTTGAATGTACATTTCTCACCTCCCACCATTCCTG